GCACACACTGTATGCCTCATTGATATTAAATTCAAAACCAGGCGAGACTAATCCACAGAGATGAAAGGCGGCTGGAAGTTACTCTTGGCAGCAGATGTGTCTGGAAGGGAGTGCGGGGCTTAGAGGCGGCTTAGGCGAGGCAGCTCACGCGCCTTGGATCTGCACGCTGCTTACACGGTGCTTCACTCTGTGGACATTCACTGAGCTGCAGGCTTATGAGGTGTGCATCTTTCCTTCCTTCCTTCCCTTCTTCCCCTCCCCTCCCCTTCCCTTCCTTTTTTCTTTAGACAGAGTTTCATTCTTGTTGCCCAGGCTGGAGCACAATGGTGCGGTCTTGACTCACTGCAACCTCCGCCTCCCAGGTTCAAGCGATTGTTCTGCCTCTCCCAAGTAGCTGGGATTACAGGCACCCACCACCACGCCCAGCTAATTTTTGTATTTTTAGTAGAGATGGGGTTTCACCATGTTGGACAGGCTGGTCTTAAACTCCTGACCTCAGGTGACCCGCCCGCCTCGGCCTCCCAAAGTGCTGGGATTACAGGCGTGAGCCCCCGTGCCCGGGCAGGTGTGTGTTCTTCTGTATGGTATATGTTGATAAAAATTTTACCCAAACCAAACACAATCTTGAGCTTTAATTCATCTTCCTGCCACGCAAAACTCCCTGAAAACGTCACCACCCCTCCTGGCTTCAAACCGTCTGACTCCTCCAAACCCTCAGTGCCTGGGTGACAGGCACCACCCACCTCTCCTAGCTGCCCCCTCTGACTCCTCCAAACCCTCAGTGCCTGGGTGACAAGCACTGCCCAACTCTCCCAGCTTCCTCTGACTCCTCCAAACCCTCAGTGCCTGGGTGACAGGCACCGTCCACCTCTCCCAGCTCCGTCTGACTCCTCCAAACCCTCAGTGCCTGGGTGACAGGCACCGCCCACCTCTGCCCGCTTCCTTTTCTGCTCTCAGCTTTAGCCGCAGGTCATTTTCTCAGTTTCCTGACCTTACACAGCCGGCCTCCAGGCTTCTGACCAAGCTGTTCTCTGTGCCTGCAATCCCCTTCCTGTTTCTTCTCATGCTAATTCCCACTCACCCTGCAAATCCTAGTAGACGCTGATGACCACACCTGCCTCCATACTCCCCCCGTACCTCGGACGTCCCCCACCAGAGCTGTTATTTTGTGGGGTCCTTGTCTCTCTTGTCATTGTCTGGCTTGTGTTTCCCTCATGAGCCCGGGAGCTCCATGAAGGCAGTGACCATGTCTCCCTTACTCTCTTATTCCTGAAATATTGCCTGGTACTGAGTAAATGCTCCATCAATACTGAATGAATGAATGAATGAATGAATGAATTGGCCCCACCCTTAACACTTCAATCTAATGGTGACCACACTTTTTTTTTTTTGAGACGGAGTCTCGCTCTGTCTCCCAGGCTGGAGTGCAGTGGCGCGATCTCGGCTCACTGCAAGCTCCGCCTCGCGGGTTCAAGCGATTCTCCCACCTCAGCCTCCCAAGTAGCTGCGATTACAGGCACCCGTCACCACGCCCAGATAATTTTTGTATTTTTAGTAGAGACGGGGCTTCACCGTATTGGCCAGGCTGGTCTTGAACTCCTGACCTCAAGTGACCCGCCCACCTCGGCCTCCCAAAGTGCTGGGATTACAGGCGTGAGCCACCACGCCTGGCAATGACCATACTTTTGACTGCACCAATGAAACGAGGATCCAGAAAGGACTCTCTAGTGATGCTGGAAACACTGAGCTCTGTTTCCCCTGCAGCTCTCACAACACAAAACAGTCCAGTGACCCCAGGTGAGTGGGGTTTTCCGTCCACACCAGGCAAGCAGTCCTTTGGCAGCCAACTGCAGCTGAGGGTCCTCACTTCAACTCAATTCCAACATGCTCTATTCAGAGGTAGCATCAGACCTCACAGGTCGAGGTCTCAGTCCCACAAGACCGTCCCCCACTTCTGAGGCCAATCACAAGACCCTAGTTATTTTACCTGTGCTTGTGACCAACCAAATATATCAGGGTTCCTGTGACTCCCTTCTTGGGTTCGATTTGCTAGAGTGGCTCAGAGAACTTAGAGAACACTTATTTACATTTACTGGTTTATGATAAAGAACATTACAGGCTGGGTGCCTTGGCTCATGTCTGTAATCTCAGCACTTTGGGAGGCAGAGGCAGGCGGATCACGAGGTCAGGAGTTCAAGACCAGCCTGGCCAACATTGGTTAAACCCCGTCTCTACGAAAAATACAAAACTCAGCTGGGCGTGGTGGTGCGCACCTGTAATCTCAGCTACTAGGGAGGCTGAGGCAAGAGAATCGCTTGAACCCAGTGGTTGCAGTGAGCCGAGATCACGCCCCTGCACTCCAGCCTGGGTGGCAGAGCCAGACTCTGCCTCAAAAAAAAAAAAAAAAAAAAAAGGATATTACAAAGGATACAGAGGAGGAGATGTATAAGGCAAAGTGGGGGTGAGGGGCAAAGCTTCCATACCCTCTCCGGGGCTACCCTCCAGAAACTTCCATGTGTTCCACTACCCAGAAGCTCCCCAAACCCTGTCCTTTCGAGTGTTTATGGAGGCCTCATTACATAGGCATGATTGATGGAATCATTGGCCACTGGTGATCAACTAAACCTTCAGCCCCTCCCCCTCCCGGAAGATGGGGGTGTGCGGCTGAAAGTCCAACCCTCTGATCCTGCTGGGGTCTCTCCAGTGACCAGCCCCCCTTTTGAAGCTATCTGGGGGCTGCCGGTCACCTGTCAACTCATTAGCAAAGAAAAAGACATCTATTACTTTGGAGATTCCAAAGACTTTAGGAGTATATGCCAGAAAATGGGACCAAATATTTATTTTGAGACCAAATATATTTTTATTTGTTATACTGTAAAATATGTATTCAGTCTTGGAATACCAAATACACATTTCACAGTATCAGAGGATCCACGTCTGCCTGGCTGTCGGGGTCATGGCCCAAGTCCCAGGGCCTGTGAGGCTGCCTCAGGAGCCACCACGACCCACCCATCCTCTATCAAGCAAAGCTCCTGCCCTCCCCAGCCAGGGACCCTGAGCTCCTCACCTGGCTCTGCCCCAGTGCCTGTTTGAACCCTGGGCTCACTTGCTCCGGTATGCTGGGTATGAAGGCAACCCTTGACCACTGACCAGCAGCAAAGCAATTGGATGGGCTGGGGTGGGGTGAGGAGGTCACCATCCTAGGCTGGGCCTGCTCAGTGGGAGAGTATACACAGGAAAAGCCCTACGACCACCCAGAAAAAAATGAGGGAGAAATCACTGCTTTGGATTGAAATCAATGACAGAGACGTAACAGCAATATGTAATACATAAACCTTGACCAGATCTGGCTTTAAAACAACACAGCTCTAGAAGTCATTTTGGGGCTGGGCACGGTGGCTCACACCTGTAATCCCAGCACTTTGGGAGGCCGAAGTGGGCAGATCGTTTGAGGTCAGGAGTTCAAGACCATCCTGGCCAACATGGCGAAACCCTGTTTCTACTAAAAATACAAAAAATTAGCCTGGCATGGTAGCGTGCACCTGTAGTCCCAGCTACTTAGGAGGCTGAGGCAGGAGAATCGCTTGAAACCGGGAGGCGGAGGTTGCAGTGAGCCGAGATCACGCCATTGCACTCCAGCCTGGGCGACAGAGCAAGACTCTGTCTCCAATAAATAAATAAGTCATTCTGGTGACAACATGGGAAATTGAAATGAGCCTCAGATCTCATGACCCTTTATGCCAGAGCTTCTCCTAACTACAGACATACTCCTACATCAGCACATGGCCACCATCGCCATCTGAGGGAATGCATATTTTACTTACTTCTTTTTTTTTTTTTGGAGACAGGGTCTCGCTCTGTCACCCAGGCTGAACTGCAGTGGCACAATCGTGGTTCACTGCAGCCTCGACTCCCCTGGGCTCAGGCAATTCTCTCACTTCAGCCTCCCAAGTAGCTGGGACGACTACAGGCTTAAGCCACCATGTCCAGCTGAATTTTTAATGTTTTTTGTAGACAGGGTCTCACTATGTTACCCAGGCTGGTCTCGAACTCCTGGGCTCATGTGATCCACCCGCCTTGGCCTCCCAAAGCGCTAGGATTACAGGTGAGCCACTGCACCTGCCAACCTTTGTATATTAAACTCTACAACTTGCCTTTTTCAACTCACAGTATGTTTCCAGATGGATCCAGGTAAACAACCATTGCACTGGCTTCATTCAGGGGGTCTGCTTTTAGTACAGCACTGTATGAGTTATATCAGTATTTTTCCCATTTTCCTAATGAGGAATATTGTCAGTCTTCCACGATTCCAAACAATCCTACCACAAACATTTTTTGTTTGTTTATTTTTCTTTTTCTGAGACAGAGTTCTCGCACCGTCACCCAGGCTGGAATGCAATGGCACGATCTCGGCTCCCTGCAGCCTCCACCTCCTGGGTTCAAGCAATTCTCCTGCCTCAGCCTCCCAAGAATCTGGGATTACAGGCGCCCGCCACCACTCCCAGCTAATTTTTTTTTTAGTGGAGACAGGGTTTCGCTAGGTTGACCAGCCTGGTCTCGAACTCCTGACCTCAGGTGATCCACCGGCCTCAGTCTCCCAAAGTGTTGGGATTATAGGCGTGAGCCACGGTGCCAGGCTCAGTTTTTTCTTTATTTTTTGTTTCCAAATGTTCTATACTGAACATGTGTTACTTCCATAAGGAACAAAAGAGCCTTAATATGCATTATTTTAAAATTGTCTTTAAGTCCACCCTCCCTCTAGGCAATGGAACAGGGAGAGGCCCAGTGAGGCGCGGGGCTGGGGTTCCGTGGACCCCACAGACTAGCCGGATGCCCACAGCCTCTCTCACGCCTTCTCTCTTTCTCCTGCATGCCCTTCTGAGAGAGAAAGTTCCTCTCCTGACTGTGGGGTGGGGTGCCATGGCCGTCCCTGGGGTCCATCTCAGGTTCCCCGGAAGCCCCCTCAGTCTGAAGGCCTCCTGCCCACCAGCCCTACTCACCAGGTCTGGTTGGTGCCAGGGTCTTGGTGCAGAAGGGAGCTGAGCACAAAAGGGGCACCTCCCTTGGGCGTGAGCCAGGGCCGGGCCACATCCACATTGAAGGCTGCCAGCGGGGCCAGGCCTGGGGGGAAAAGAGGAGCGTTTAATGAAAGAGGCCTTTTACTCCCATGATTCCAGCAAATCCTGTGGCGTCTTTAACCCTGTTTTACAGCTGAGAAAAGTGAGACTCCCCAAGGATCTTTGTGTGTGAGAGAGAAAGACTAGACGCAGGTGTATCTGACCCAGAGCCTCTGATTCTCCTACTAAACCAAGCTGTACCAGTACCCGAGCCCCCGTCCTCCAAGAAGCCACGCCTAGCTCTCCCCAAAGAAGCACTTCCCGCCTCCTCACGCCTCTTACTGTCATCTCTGCACCTGACAAGCTGAACGTACTCACATTACCGCGTCTTGTACCGAAGTGACAGTAGACTGTGAGCCCCAGGAAGAGGGCCTGCTTATGTTCTATGTACCCCTTCAAGCGACCCAAGAGAAAACATGTGTCCCCAAAACTGCCTGCACAAGAATGTTTTATTCGGAAGAGCCCCAAACTGCAAAGAACCCGAATGTCCAGCAACAGGAGAATATGGAAAAACCCACTGTGGTGTATTCCTACGATAGGATCCTACTCAGAGGTAAAGAGGAATGAACAACAGATACAGCAGTGTGACGAATCTCAAAAATCATTATGCTGGCCGGGCGCGGTGGCTCACGCCTGTAATCCCAGCATTTTGGGAGGCCGAGGCAGCTGGATCGCTGGAGGTCAGGGGGTTCGAGACCAGCCTGGCCAACCTGATGAAACCCCGTCTCTACTAAAAACGCAAAAATTAGCTGGGCGTGGTAGTACGTGCCTGTAATCCCAGCTACTCGGGAGGCTGAGGCAGGAGAATTGCTTAAACCTGGGAGGCGGAGGTTGCAATGAGCCGAGATTGCACCACTGCACTCCAGCCTGAGCAACAGAACGAGACTCCGTCTCAAAACAACAACAAAAATCATTATGCTGTGTGGCAGAAGGCCTTACATCTTTCTTCTTTCTTCTCATTTATTTGTTTTTTTTCTTAAATTTATTTACAGCAGAATAGGCTCACAAATTCTATTTTATTCAATGGTTATAATCTGTTATCACCATATTGGTTCTTAAATTGTCCCTTATTTGGCCTTTCCATGAAGGAATAATTGGTACTGGATTAATTCTTTCACCATAAACAACTAGAACACTAGACAAAACGGATAAAACGTTTTCAGACATTTGACAACAGGCAGCGCAGGGCAGTGATCTCTAGAAAACACAAACAAATAACACGAGCCCTGTCATTACCCTCAGCTTTCTTTCTGGAGGAATTTTATGACCTTGATGCAGGGAAAGGGAATTCAAGCAGAGCACAGCAGATTTGTTGAGCGAAGGCAACAAAAATCATATTGTATAACTCCATTTATATGAGGTTCCAGAACCAGCAAAACTGAATCTATAGTAAAAAGAAAAAAAATGCCTAACAGGATGAGACTAACTGGGAAGGGACTAGAAGGAACTTTCTGGAATGATGAAAATATTCTGTATCTTGATGGGTGTTTGAATTACCAAGGTGTGCATGTGTTAAAGCACATTCAATGAATGGTCCACTTAGAATTTGTGCATGTCACTGTATGTAAATATTACCTTACAAAAGAAACGCAGACACATTTTGTTGATATGTATGCTGAAATGTTTAGAGTTGAATTATACATAAGTCAGCAATTTATTTTTATTTAGTTCTTTTTTTTGAGATGGGGTCTCGCTCTGTCTCCCAGGCTGGAGTGCAGTGGTGCAATCTTGGCTCACTACAACTTCTGTGTCCCAGGTTCAAGCGATTCTTCTGTCTCAGCCTCGCACGTAGCTGAGATTACAGGTGCCTGCCAACACGCCCAGCTAATTTTTGTATTTTTAGTAGAGACAAGGTTTCACCATGTTGGCCAGGCTGGTCTCAAACTCCTGACCTCAAGTGATCCACCTGCCTTGGGCTTCCAAAGTGCTGGGATTACAGGTGTGAGCCGCCACATCCAGCCTGCAATTTACTTTAAAATGCATCAAAATATAAGATGGCTTGCTGGATGGGTAGATAGATATATGTGATAAAACAAATATGCAAAAGTGTTAATGATTGTCAAATTTAAGTGTGGTAATGCAGTTGTCCACTGTATAATTTTTCAACTTTTCTATGTATTTGAAATTTTTCATTTAACATTTTTTGGGGAAAAATAGGTATTGAAAGTTTACCTCCCAAAGAGGTTTTGCCAAGTCATACTCCAACCACAGCATGGGAGAAGGTTTGTCTCCCCACAGTGTTGCCTGGACTGACTGTGAAGACATTTTCATCCTTATTTTAAGATTATCTCACCATCTTATTCCAAAATTATTTTTTGCTTTTTTTTTTTTTTTTTTTT